CACCCTATGACTTGGTGGAATTAGATCCAAACAGATACAATAGATGGACCACTAGAGAGTTTGTCACTGCCAAAGCCAGGGAATCATACGGTTTCAACAACGTTGTTGTCTATCCATTCGAAGAGAGATATGCAGGACGTCCAACTGAGAGAGTAACCGGTGCTTATCAGAAAATGAAAGAGAGGGGAGCGGAATTTAGTTTTCATGCAGGTAAAGTTCCCAGCATTTTATATCAATTGCATTGTTTATCAATTACAATTTACCAGACCATTCTTGAGTGCACTGAAGAAGGCTACAAATACAAGAATGTATAATTTTATTTTAAGTTTAACAGGCTATTAATATATAGTTTTTTTTTATTTGTGTTAAAAACTTATCGATTTACTGTTTTCAAGTTTAGGATGGGAGCAGCCAAGCTGGTTTGCGTTACCTGGTGACGAGGCTGGATACAAACCAAGTTTTCGGAGAACAAACTGGTTTGAGCCGGTTGGTCGTGAATGTCGCATGGTGATGGAGAAAGCTGGAATTATTGATTTGACCCCATTTGGAAAATTTGAAATTGAAGGAAAGGATGCAATGAACTTGATGGACTATGTATTTGCCAATAATATGCCAAAGGTACGAGTTAAGATGACTTTGTTATTCCAAGTGCGTAGAAATAAAACAGAAAATAAAAGTTGTGAGCTGACACATGCCCTGACTAAAAAATCATTTATGGAGAGGGGCGGTCTAATACTACTGATAAATTTATTAGTTTATAATTTAAAATATTACGATTTGTCATCAGGTTGGTCGTACAACAGTAGCTCACTTGATATCACCCAAAGGCAAAGTGTATGCCGAAATGACGATCACAAGATTGGCCGAAAATCATTTCTTTTGCATAACAGGGTCAGGATCAGAGCTACACGATATCAGGTATGTGCAGAGTGCATGAAAGCTACTTCTTCAAATAACAACTGTTTACATAGCTATTGGACAATAAAAAAAACCTGAAGCTCAATGCAGCCTTTTGTAGTGCATGCAACAACAAAGTTGTTTTTGTTTGACAAATCATTAAACTCTGTTTCGTTATTTGAATATACAAACATGACAGCTGGGACCTATAAAGGCTACATTTTGAGGTCATGCTGTTATATTTGTTAATTTCACCTGTAACTGAGCCCTCTATGGCAAAAATAACTTGAAAACTGAAGGTCAAATTTTTAGATCGTGGCTTTATTTTGTCATTTTATTGTCAAATAGAATTATGCTCTTTTTGGCAAAAGTTGCAGTCGGACTTAGTCATGGATTTATATACTACGGTATATTTTTTAAGTTTATTTTTCATAGAATTATGTCCTCTGTGACAGCTAGGGTCTAATGGCCACATTTTGAGGTCATTGATATGAATACTACAATTTTCTGTTGAAATAAGTAAAAATTAAAATATTGAAGACATGAAATGAAATTTGTCCTTCTGTCAAAAGGCTGAAATTTAATAATTATCGTGTAAATGTTAAATCTACGATTGACCCAATGATTTTATTGTTCATCTTTCATGATCCATTTCTGATTCAACTTTAGTCCTTTGTATTTATTTCGTTTAATTTAATAACGTATGATTAAAAAAAAACTGATGTCATTTTAACAATGCTGAAACAGCTGTCAAATATAAATCCTGTTTTTTTATAAAATTAAAATAAATCCATTCAGAAACTGAACAAGGACATATCATGCTTGAGGTAGAGTATGTTATATCAAATAATAAAAGTGCACAAACACAAGACCAATGACGATTCATGGCTAATCTGCATATTTAACCAGATTTACATAAATTAGCCAATTTTAGCTCTTCCAAAGGTAACTCAAAAACCACTCATTATTATTGATTTTGATAAGCAAAGCTGCCCTCTAGATTGCGACTATTTTGGTTGTCAAGGCGATTAAATTTAATGAATGGCAATTTAATAAAAAAATGTAGGTCGCCATTTGGCAACCTTAAAAAAAATCTGGCTGGCGACAAAACTTTCTGTAGCGTAAAACAGAATTTACAGCTTGTCAGCTCTTGGTGGCACTTTTCTACCCACAATTCTAAACTTTGCAGTTTATCATCCATCATAATTAATTTTTTTCAATTCAAACAATGTCAGAGTGATAAATCACAAAATTTGCAGCAGAATCATGCTATTGAAAGAGAAACTTATTCTGTTAGTAAATTTGTTTTGGACGATAATGTTACCATAAAAACAATGACTTTATGATTTTATTGTGTTGTTACGCCATAATCTGTCTGCCATTTTGAATCGGAAATTGGTAAAATTTCATTTTTTCTTCTTTGATTTGATTGACAAAGTCGACAGCAGAGCTCATAATTTTTTCACTTTTTACTTTTTTGACTTTGAGTTGAAAACTGCAAATCCAATTGCTCTGATATTATAAATATAGGTACCTCAGGTAGACCTCTCTCAGATTTGTTTATTTTGTGATGATATCTTCAATTATCTAATTTTGATGACTATTTTTGTCATATTTGGTAAAAAGTAATATTTTTGAATTCTTGTTGAAAACAGCAAGTATGATTACTTTGATACTATATATATATATACTGTAGGTACCTCAGGTAGACCTCTCTCAGATTTGTTCATTTTCTAATGATAACTTCAGTTCTTTAATTGAAATGTGTATTGCTAACAGCGAAGCTATCTCAGCCAAGAGGCTGCTTGTTCAAATACTAGTAGCCAGTCGCAGGGAATGAATTACAAAAAATACTTGTCTAAAAGTATATGAGCTGTTTATATTAAATCTTTAATTAAAATGTCATTCATAGTGTTCAAGACCATATTCTACCATAGTGTGAGTGTTGAGTTTTTGTGCAAAATTCATTCTGGATTTAATACTGGGTATACATTTTGTTATCTAGGTGGATTGAGGAGCAGGTGTTCGCTGGTAACTATGACGTCAAGATCACGAACGTGACTGATCAAAGACATTGTCTTGGAATAGCAGGTCCAAAATCAAGAGATATTCTACAAAAATTGACAACAACCGATGTTAGTCATTCCAAATTTTTACCAATGGTCAACAAATTCATGGAAGTGGCGGGAATCCCAGTTTTTGCTATTAGAATCTCGTACACAGGTGAAGTTTTTAACTAACTTATTATTTTTGTCATCTCTTATTTTAGAACTGTTTGTCTGAACAACTTATATGAAAATGCCATGAGGAATTGGATTATCAAATTATTATTATTATCAAATTATGGTCATAGTCTGTGAATAGCACTTGTGAGATTCAAAGACCGAAAGTGTGGTGATATATATGATAACTCCTACTTTCAAGTGAGCGTTATACAACAGAAAACAAATTTCAGCGATTGGCTGCATTGCCATAAAAACTTCTTATTGTTGTCGGCACAAAACAAAAAATGCAATAATTTTGGAAATTTTACAAGACAAATGCTTAGAACATTTATTTTGTTCTGACTTTGAATAAATTTTATTTTTATCATAAAAAATTATTTTTATTTATTTTTTGCAATATTTATAAAATGACAACATTACTGGTAATACAAATCATTAACGTGTTTTTTTCCCCTCTTCACAGGTGAATTAGGATACGAGTTTTACCATGATAGAAAGGATACACTAAAGTTATACGAAGCATTGTTAGAGGCTGGTGAACCCTATGGTATGGGTGATTTTGGTACTTATGCTTTGAACTCATTGAGATTAGAAAAAGGTTTTCGACTGTGGGGAAGCGAGGTGAGTTGCATGACATTCATTCATCACATTGGTGAATTAAGCAGGTCCTTTTTTGATGATGACATATTTGGAAAATCAGTCTAATTTGTGTATTTGTTATACTGTAAAATACTTTACTTTAGCTGAAAAGACTTTTTGGCTGTTTTGTATGGAATTTATTTTCACTGATTTTTTGACGAGTTGAAGGTAAAATATAGGAAAAAAAGTATATTCGCTGGATTTTATTTTCACTAAATCCTTCCTTCAGCGAAAATGGCAGAAATTAATTCCAAGCGAAAATAAATTATTCTACAGTAGTATGCATTATAGATGAAAATGTATATTTTTTTTTAACATTTTAGTTTGATAGTACTTGTTGATGGCCAAAGTTGATTATGGACAATCATAAACTGAAATTATTTACATTTTGTTGCAATTATTGTACAAAATTATTGAAAAAATAAAAATAACTATGCATAATAAACATTCATTGCAATATTATATGGTATATTGTTTCATCAAAGGTGTAAGAATTATCAGTAACAATTTTCTACCTCCATAGTCTGATCGATTAAATCATCATAATAATTGCTTTACATACTGTCGACGTTCTGTTCCAAATTTCTTTGGATTTGTTTTCTTTCGTCCCTGTTTCATAGTCGACTGCAAGACGTTAGTGTTGAAGAGCGAGAATTTCACTGAAATTAAATTTGTGGACGATCGTAAATGAAATGCATGTATGATTGAAGTGTGACTTGTACTGAATGTAAGAGACTGATTAATTAAAACATGTCTTTCAAAACAATGACATGCGCTTTTGTTTTTGATTAACAAAAATAGATTTTTACACCCTATAAAAACATCCAATTTATTTATTTTCCTACCGAGTGTTTGCTTCTCGTAGTCCAGCATTGAAAAATACAAAATAGGTAGAATTTTGGGTTTCAAAGCAAAATAACCCTATACAGCATCCTTAAATCTTACATGTCCTCATCTGTGTGGCATTTTTTAAGGGCCTCCCTACAAATAGAACACTTAATGGGTTGATGTAGCTATATCAATCTTTGAACTAAAGTTATTTTTTTGCATTATATCAAAATTAAATTATAATTAATATTCAATCATTGTTTTTTTTTGTTTATTGATAGATGATTATGGATAATAATCCATTAGAAGCTGGATTGGATTTCTTTATTAAGCTCAATAAGGTAATCTTAATCTTAGTCTATCTGTGTAGCAATTATTATGGTGCTAAAACTTTATACATGTTAAAAAATATCAGTAAGATTATACCGGTCTGGTGATGCAGAAAGGGATTGTTTTGTTATGTCTCTACACAATACATTGTGTTATTAATATCAACTGCTGTGTAGCAACTCGTCTATATTTATTATTAAGCGCAATACATTTGAAAATAGAAATTTAAACTGATTTTTTTATTATGTCTATTTTTATAATTTTTAATTTTTTAGAGGGGTGTATAAAAGAAGAAGTGACAATCGGTCTGTTTAGTGTTGATATATAGAAAGTAGTGTATTTTATGTGTAAGAGGTAGAGTAGTGGCCCCACAAATATAATTCATTTGTGCCACTTCTCCCCCCCCCCTCCCGAAAAGAGGACATGCGCTAAAGTCCCAGTGCCTGCAATTACCCATAATCTTCTGTGTTTTGTATTACCATATATTGGTTTGTACTATACTGCTAACTGTCACCAGTATACAGCAGCCTGTGGAGATGTTTTATGCATTCTGAGAACGCAGTTTTTGACAGAAATATTCTTCTCGCCGTTGGTTTTCTAAATTGACGAGCCCTTGTGTTGGTGATTACATTCCTTTTTTCAGCACCACTGTAAATTTTCTTTCACCCGACCTTAACCTTGACATGACCTTGGAGTTGACTTATTATAAATCATTCTTTTGAAGATCAATTACAACGGACCATTTAAGTATTTGATAGCTTCTAAAATTAACAAGTTTTCTTGACATCAATGTTTATTTGTCTAATCATAGAGACTTGTGAGAAGTATTTTATCAATGTTGAAGTATGAAAATAAACTGAGCATTTAAGAAGTACTGAATAATTCATTTAATAACAATTCATTGTAAAAAAAAAACTATTCCCATTCACAATATTCTGGAAAGGTGTCAATGTCTATGAAAAACACAAGTTTGTCTCTAGTTGAAAAAATGAAATTTAAATTTGAAATGTGTGTATTTTACGGTTTATTCACTGAAAAGACTTTTGGGGTGTTTTGCATTATATTTTCACGGATTCATTCCTTCAGTGAAAATATTTTACAAAAATGTTATTTGAAAAATGTGGAATACCAAAATGTTCATATTGCATGTTCCAATGTGTGTCTGTCTTATTAACTTTCAAAATTCTTCAAAATGGGCCGTAATATCACTTTCTAAAAAATTGTTTCGTTTGCTAATTTATCAATTTCTCTCTCAGAAAACCAATTTCATTGGTAAAGAAGCCTTATTGAAAATAAAAGAGAAAGGACTCCAACGTAAACTAGTGTTATTGTCTGTTGATACTGATAATGTTGAAGCAGAAGGGAATGAGACAATATGGCTTGATGGCAAAGTAAGTAGTCATCTTGTATAATTCAAGCACTAAGCAAACAAAATATAAAGTAATATACAGACTCGCCAGAAATTAATTACGCACCACACTACATGCAGTTACTACTTACAATATCATTCAGTAAAATAAACTCAATAAAGATTTGAATAAATATGTTTATACATTGAATACTATATATTTGATTTTCGTCGTCGCGTTTACTGTTCATTTGATTTATGGTATTTGGAACAATGAATGTGATGAAGTGACAATGAAATAATATTGGAGTGGCAAAAACATTGTTAACAAGATTTTGGCAGTCAATGAAAAACGAGCTAGATTATGTGGAAGAAGAATTTAACATAAATGACAGCCAAATTTGACTTAACCGTAAATGATGGTCGAATTTGGAAATGGTCTAATGGAAAACTGCATTGCAGATTTTTAGTTTAAAAATTGCTTTTTCTTTGTTTCACAGGTGGTAGGTAATACCACATCCGGTGGTTACAGTTATATGACTAACCAAAGTGTAGCCTATGCGTATCTACCTATGGATCTTACATCTATTGGGTCAAAAGTTGAAGTGGAATTACTAGGAAAGCATTATGTAGGAACAGTTATACCAGAACCTTTGATGGAGACTGAACCAACAATAACAAGAAGAAGGTTAAAAAAAGAGAAAGAAGCTGCAAAATAATTTGTTCATTGTACTATATGTCATGTATGTGTACTAGATCAAATTAAGACATGGTTTAGGGAACTGACATAAATTAAATAATGGTGGTAATATGTTTTCAAAGAAAGCTTTATTCCTCCCAATGAACTAATTGGGTATGGAATGGCTTTGAGTACTTTCTTCCTGTTGAGGTGAAAAATGACAATGATGGTTCTCGTGAACTTATTCCAACCCAGGAAAACATAGAAAGTATCAGTAGGTTATTTTGAATATGTGACAATGTTTTGATCAAAAAGACTTCAGGATGTCTACAAGCTGGAGGTCCTTTTGAATGATTGGAAAAAATCACAAATTCGAAATTCACAGATATATTGTGGGAAACTATTTTCAAAATATGTAATTGACAATTCTTGCACAAAAATAATATGCATAATCTTGTAATACATTAAACATACACTGTACTCTGTGATCCAGCTAGATATGCTGTTTTTAGTCTACATTAATATAGTCGTATAAATAAAACAATCAATTGATTCTAGTTTCAAACAGTAGAATACAAATTAATGTGAAAAATATCAATGTACAAATAAAAGACGAAATTGAGAAATCGAACCCTAAGTGCAACAATTGAGGTACCTGGCCTTTGAAGGAAGATGCATTCTTTACTATTTCCTGGTTGAGTTCACTCTTTGTATTGTTCAAATAAAAAGTGTTTTGCATTACACTAGCACTCAACTGTAATACGAGGCTTATCTGTAGCAGGGTTATTTTTATTTATGTCTATTCAGATATTATTATAATTAATCCTAATAAATTGTCCAGATTTATTTCTGTACTCTACTTTGTCTGTTATGTGATACCAGATGCATGGAAATGTGTAAGTTGGTTGATATTATAATAAAGGCATCAGACAATATGTGATGTGACTAATGTATCAGATGTGACCTCAATAATATGCATAAATGTTATATCAAAGTTCGAAACTGGGACTTATAATCAGTCTCTGTCCGTCCAGAGTTGTATTTTAGAACCCTGCATTTTGACCAAATCTGTTCATTCTTTGTGGTATCTTATGCATGCTTTGTCAGTTTCTGTTCAAATTTGGTACATACATTATACATGTTAGGATACATGTCCATGATGATTTATTTTGCGATCAGATCAAAGATGACTGATTGGCAGCTATTATTTTTTTTAAATGTGGTATCTTATGCATGCTTTGCCAGTCTTTGTTTCAATTTAGTACATGCATTGTACATGTTAGGATACTGACTATGATGATTCGTTTCACGATTGGATCAAAGATGGCTGATTGGCAGCCATCTTGCTTTTTGACCATACTACTATAGTGTCAAGGCTTCTGGATCATTTTCATTCATATTTGGCACATGCATCATACATATAGAAATACATGTTGACAGTCTGATCCATAATCAGATTAAAGATGGCCGACTGGCATCCATCTTGTTTTTTAAAAAATGTGGTATCTTGGACAGGATTTGCCTCCATGCATGCATACATGCATAGGATTTGTGGGTTTTCAAATTTCATTCAAACATGCATGTCCATGATGATTCATTTCGAGTTTCGTAGCTCTGTACATGAACCTGGACAAATGAAATTCAGTTAGGATACAAAAATGCATGAATAGCATATCCTGTTTAATTTCTGATCATAGTATTACGATTTTGGAAGAGTCCTTCAATGCATCTAACCAGCCTGTCACAGTGTAAGGCCTGCTTATTGCTATTGAGAGGGGCACCCGCAGAACTCGCACTGGACAGGGGGTTCTTTCACTGCTAGTATGGGTTATAGACAAGACAATAGTACTGGAAATGAAATAGACATACACCAACAAATATCAAGTTAAAGCCCATGGCTTTAATACCTCTCAAAACAATTACAAGAAACAAAGCACAGAAAAATAAAATGAATAAATTCACTAAAATAGGGGATTGCCCAATACACGGAAGTGTGCATTGGTGATACCTCGCGGTTCCATGATGTGGAAATGAATGACAGTCAATAGCTTCTGCAATGACAAAGGAGTCTTGCTTGCAGAGGAATGCTGTTATTCTGGAAGGCATCCCTGAAAGCAGGAGATCGCAGAGCATTTCATACAAGTCTCCATATGCTTTAGCATCATATTCAAGTATCATTTCCTCCCAAATCTAATCCCACAATGCACCGTGTTTCAAGGTTTATTAAAGAGCATACAGTTGTTTTTTTTTAGTTTATGAGGGGGTGGGGCTTTACTAAATTGTGACTTTCTCTAAAGAGGGATGTGATGTTAAACCTTTGACCCACACATCTCTGAACTGAAATTCCAGTGAATCGCCTATGAACACGCTCACCCAACCCCCGAGAATTATACCCAATGAATTTGATAAATTAACTAAATTAATTTTCATTGAGTTAGTAAACGTTATAATATAAATGTTATCATAAATCACGGGCAAGGTGGTCAATAGTTTTCCTGAGTTTTTATTAATTAAATTATTTTTAATTTAAAACTTATGGGTTGACTGTTGGCGAGTCGAGGTAACGGACACGACATAACGCTACATTTTGTATTACATTCAGCCGTCCAATATGACTAGCTCTATCTGTGCTGTCCCACCGATATGCATTTTGAGCATACCGGAACACATGTAACTACAGAACCATGTAGGTCTTCAAACGAATAATGATAATTCCTCAGCTCCTGAGAGCGAGGTTATTTGTAGATATGTTGGCGATCGCCGCTGTGTCTGCGGAAGTACTATGGAAGATTGCATGATGGGAGTGAAAAGTCTTTTGATCAGTAAGAAAATTTTAGAAAAGTGAAAACTTGAGTGACTGTGAAATAAAGGTTGATTTTAAATATAAAATATCATGGAATCTGGATGAAATAATGAAAGGAAATTGAACGGGTATGAAAGTAAATGTGGCAAGAATGCAAGGTCAGAATCCGGGGGGTCAAAATACGTCACAATACAATGCTATCAAACATCTACATTAAAGCAGCTGGTAAAAGTCTTCGAAAACATGTAATTAAAAGTAAAAAGAAAAACACCAAAAAAGCCAAACCAAAGTGGTATACTAGAGAACTTAATGCCTTAAAAAAAGAGGTATACAAAATGTCGATAAACATGAGTACTAACCCTTATAACAAACAACTTAGACAAGAAACTTATAATATGAAGAAAAAATATAGAAATTTGGTAAAAAAGAAGAGAAGGGAATTTAAGAGTGACATCTTAAATAAACTTCAAAAACTGGGTGAATCAAACCCCAACAAATATTGGGAGTTACTTAGAGAACTAAAAAATGATAA